CATTTTCAAAGACGATTTTTGTGTTTTTAACTAAATATAAAGCACTTACATGAGCCAACGCTAAAAACTTTATAGAAAAAAACCCACCTAATTCACTATTTTTAAAATGGATAAAAATTAAACAGAGATTTATATTGCCCAGCCTGCACTTCAAGGAAGTCAAGCAACTGATATGGGAAGGGGGTGGTGGGGAGGGTGCGGGTTTCTTTTATAGAAGTATTTGAGCTCATAAATGAAGAATGATAAACTGGTTGTGGTGGTGCACACCTGTAATCCCAGCAACTCAGGAGGCTGAGGCAGGAGAATCACAAGTTCAAGGCCAGTCTGAGCAACTTAGTGAGGCCCTAAGCAACTTAGTGAGATTCTGTCTCAAAATAAAAATTTTTTTAAAAAGGGCTGAGGATGTGGCTCAGTGGCTAAGTGCCCCCTGGGTTCAATCCCCAGTGCCAAAAATAAGAATGATAAAATGAAATGCGCATTATTTTACAAGCACTAATAACACCATTAATTTAGACAATAGTATCAAAAGCTGCTAAACATCATTAAAAAAAAAAAAAGCATACATATCAAACCTTCGTGCCAGAATCACACTGGAATCTGAGATATGAAAGTGGCACCTCAGCATTGCAGTGGGCTGGGCTCAAATCCTGACTCCACCACCACTCACTGCCTGGGTGACCTCAGGAAGGTAGGAGCCTCAATACCTCACCTCCTCATGCAGGAAACAGCGATCCTCATGACAACAACCCCATTAGGGAAAGCAATACAACACTCGACACTTACTACAGAGCCTGGCACACTCAGCAAACACCACCTGTTATTACTAGGCCTAAATTCCAGTGGAACATCATCTGTCTTTCCTTACTCATAAAAATAGGTGTTCCCCAGTGCAGCCCCCCAAACATCCTTCAGCTACTGGTCTGAATGCTGGGAACCAATACACTTGAAATGCACATTTTACAATCTAAGACTGAGGTAAAATCGATTTTTTTGGCAACTACAAAGCTTACCACTCAGTATAGAATCTCATTATAGATTTAATCCCACCAGTAAAATATCCCAAGACCTTCTGTAAATGCAGGTGTCTGTGACACGCCTTTAAAGTAGCTGCTGAAATTCTATGTCAACCAGTGAAGAACGCTGACATGCACAGAGAGCCACTATGACCCTAAGACTCTAAAGCCAAAGAAACAGTAAATACATTTATTAAGCGAGCCTTGGGCTTCTAAGGCAACCGGCAAACAATCGCCCGTGAGCCACTGCCTCATACCACGCCCCTGTCCGATCATGATTCAGCCCTGGCCCTTTCCTGATAAGCTCACACAGCGCCCCCCACGTCTAAGCCCACTTCACCAGAGCGAACATTCAAGAAATCTATTTGCCCCACTTGTGCTATTGCAGAAACCATAGTAAAGGCAACTACGGCTCAAATGTCATTTTATAACTCAGGAAGGGATCGTGATCAGGAACCAGCCTGCCTGCTAGAGGGTGAGAGGGGTACAGAGCAGCATAGGGAACCACTGTGAAACAGAAGCAGCCAGAACACTGGCGTCGAAGGATCCCGTCATAAACATGCAGTGATTCAGGCAAAGCAGTGAGAAAAACAGCCCGTGATGCACAATCTTCAGGAGGATAGAAAGTCTGAAGGTAGAAGAAAAAGGAATGTGGAAGGTGGATATCTTCAACATGTTAAAAAAAAAAAAAAAGTCTTATGTTTCCCAAATTTATGGATACCCTACAGATTGTGCTCTAAAATTCACACAAGCAGGGGACCTGCTCATGAAGCTGGGTTTAAAAGAAAGGAATTTGCATAACACAGGGAGAACTCAAGGTCCCAATGCTGGGATTACCCCTAGCAAATGAAGGCTGGAAGTGAGGAGCAATCAGCACTACTAAGATCAGTAAGCAAAGGCAAGCACAGCTCAGCCACTAGGCTGGCGGGACTTGGCCTCCCCAGCCCTCCCCACCAAGAGGACAGCCCCTGCACTTACCATCATAATGCAATACAATGGTGCATGAACCCTTTTCAATATAACTACTGGGGCTTCATTAATGTCTGTGGCTTTTAAAAACAACACCTCAGTGATCTCGTCAGGTTTGGCCTGGCTTTGTGGGCTATGTAAAAATTTTGTGGAACTCTGGCATTTAAAGAGCCCTTAAGGATAATCTAATTCAAAACCTCATTTCACTGTGAGTCAGAAAAGTGCAGGCAGGAGATGCTGTCAGCAGCTGAGGGCCACATTCTACTCTGTGGCAAAGGCAATGAGAGTCCCCCTTATCCAGTCAGTCTCATGCTGCTTCTGGTGGTCTTTATTAAGTAAAGGGCAGGAATGGTAGTACCCTGTGCACCCAGCAGAGGTGACATGGAGACTGAACTGTCCCTAAAGGAAAGCAACAGCGCCATAAATTTGTTTTTACTTCAGGTGAAGACTTACCAAAGACACAGCCATCTCCCCCACGTGACACTGATTCCTTTCATCATAGCACAGCAGCTATGTCTGACATAGAGTCATTTATGACACCAGGATAACATTGTCAATCTCGAGAATGTGGATAAGCAAAGAAGGCCTGATTGAATAATAACCAATACAACTGCAAACGTAATTCAAATACAATACAATACAAATACAAACATAAGCCTGACCACCTCAGGTCATTTCCACAACAGTGGATGAGAGCAAAATAGATACTAAAATTCTTTCCTTCAGTAGCTTCTCGCACTTGATATGGAGTAGGTGGAAATTCTCCATTATCATTTCCCCGTTAGTCAGCCACCTCCAAAGAAATGGTTCAGCGTAACCTGTCTTCAGTACCAACTGCTGTACAAAGACTTAGGCCCAAGTCTGCTGCCCAAGAGAGCATTTGTTAGTGACTTTAGGTCCAGAGTCACAGTCTGGGCCAGAAGCCAGGACCCTGCAACCCACAAACCCTGTAACTTGAGAAAACCAATCTACCTGACCGAGCTTCTGCCAGCACACCTGTAAAACATGGACAATAACAACCACAGAAAGCTGTTTAACCACAGAGACATTGCACGTGAAGCATTTAGCACGGCACATAGCATGTGATGAATATCCAACCTTAATTGTAATTAGAACTTAGAAATCAGTTAATGCTGTTAAAGTTCTGAAGGTCAAAGAGTTCTACAGACACCTTGGGTCTCTCTAGTCCTGATAGTTCAAGGTAATCACAAACCAGCTTGAAGAGAAAGTCCAACCAGCATTGGAGGGGGAAAAAAAAAAGTTTTTAAACCTTTTTAAGATAATGAGTTTGATGTCAACTTGACTGGCTAAGGGATGCCCAGATAGCCGGTAAGCATTAATTCTTCTGTGTCCCAAGAATGTTTCCTGGAGAGATTGGCATTTGAATTGGTGAACTGAGTAAAGTGGATGGCCTTAGACTAGAAAACAGAACCAGCAGGTCCCTCAAACCAATTTCATCAGAAGGATAAGGAGAGTGTTTTCTGAAATACAGAAGATAGTACAACAACACAGAAGTATTCTTTCTCTTCTCCTGGAAGAAAACAGCAAGGAGAGAGCCAGGAACTTTACTCTTACTCTCCTGCAACATCCCAACTGCAAATTAAATGCATCACTGGAAAATAAACTCTGAGTCAGAACAAATCAGAACCATTTAGGCTTACATCATTTTTAGACTAGTTAAAACATCACAGTGATGCATAGCAAGCAAGAACCTGAGTGAGCCCTGATATGCTCACCTTCCAGCCAGAAAGGGAGCCCATACTCCCCTGCTGACAGTCCTGGGGACCCCCCACACCTTTCTTCCCAAGTTAAAGCTATCATCCTCCTCTCAGCCAGACCTACTAATATTGCTTCTGAAGGTCTCCCTACTTCCCCTCTCATGCCTGGGAACACCACAGTTCCCACCAAAATGGTAAAAGATGAAGAAACGAACACAAAGAACTGAAAATATTACACAGCTTAAAAAAAAACAAGCAAATAAAAGAAAAAGTCTTATAAAGTCCTTACAGTCACAATCTCAGTCCTGAGATTGCTTTTAGTCTTGTGGTTGCTTTCAGCTAAGCTGATGGACAAGTTTTTCAACTTTATCCCTGAGAAAAGAATCAAATGTCTTTTTTTTTTCTTTCTGCCAACAAAGGACCCTGAAAAATCAAATCCCACTAGAACAGTTACCTAGGATTCTTTATCTCAAGCAAGCAATCTCTATTTCTCATAGGTTTCTACTGGATGACACTCATTTCCCAATAACCTCACCTCAAAAAGCATGATCCCCACTTTCCTCAGGAGTGCTACTACCTTTCCTGTTCTGGCCTGGCGGGAAAACCATGCAGCCACGCTAGCCTGTTCCTCCTGAGAGCTGCCCAGCTGCACCACGGAGGATGAACAGCTTCAACAGTAAACAGTTGTCAAATTCCATCAGTGAAAGTGATAACAGATGTGATCATCAAGGGAAAGGACCAGAATAAGAAGAAACATGAAGTGCTCGTAGAAAAAGGTTCTTCTCCAAGCAGATTTCAACAAGAGCCCAGGGCAGAAATGAGACTGCAGTGGACAAACTGAAGTGACAGGGACAGAAGATTCGAAGGAGAACGTGACTGTGGAGGAACAAGAGTATATCACTCATCATGGCACCAAGGGTAAGTATTTTGGAGAGGGGATTTTTTTTTTTTTTTTAACAGAGGAGAAAAGGACATAGGTATATCTGCTAAGGAAAAGCATCCCAAACTAGGTAAGTTTAAAGAAGAGAAGATAGACAAGGCATTCTTAAAAGGTAGTAGGGAAATTTATCAAGAAACAAAAAAAGAATTGGGGTAAAAGAGAAACACTTTTCCCTATCAGGTGAAGAGTAAGAGGTTAAGCTCTGAACTTGGATGCTGGCTATTCTGCTCTGAAGAGTCTCGGGCTTCCTGGGCCTCCCTGAGAACAAGAGTCGTGGGGAAAATGGGAATGCTCTGCACAAAGATGGCCAAGTGCTCACGTGCTAGATGCTAGAGATACAGAGATAACCTGACCACGTCTATTGCTTCTCGGCCTTTTGGCTAAGATCAAGTGTAGCATCTGTTCTTATCAGTTTAATATTTGATACGTCCTCCATCCGGGGGACAATATAGTAAATGGATTTTGGGAGCAGGGAGATGGAATAGGAGCTTGCTCTGTCCACTCCACCTGGTATTGCAGTACCTCCAGGAACAGTGTACCCCCCTCAGGGGACTAAAAAAATAAAAGGAAAGAAAGAGAACACAATCTGGTAGGAGTGCAAGGACTGGAAATAAACCATTCCCAAAAGGAAGACAGCTGCCATAGAGCACCAGACACCAGGCAGGACGGGGCTGTAAGGAATGCCAAGGCCAAGCTGGCAGTGCCCGCCGAGTAGCCTGCAAATTCCCTGTTTACATTGGGAAGATTTCAGAATTCTAACAGGGGGTTGGCCATAAAAGAGGAGTTGACTCTTGGGCTCGTTTAAAATAAAAGAAAGGTTTTTAAAAGGGGGAGGAAAGGTGAATCTAATGAAAAGACATCTGTCTTAAATACTGCCCTGGAGATAAATGCACCAGCAGTCAATTTCTCTTCACCTTTTTCATGAGAAGAGTCAGGAAGAGTTGCACAATCAAACAAAGAATGCTTTTTAAGTCTTATCTTGATTGGAAAGGAATCAATTTAATTAGGCATAGATTCAAGCACACTTAAAGAAAATTTTAACAACACTGTTAAAGAACTTGCATTTCGGCTACACCTGAGGCTGCCTCGGTTTCCCTCAGTAACCTCAGGGATCCCTCACTTCTCCCCAGCCTCAGAAGGATTCCTCCTGTTTACTCCTCGGTGGAGAGACATCTTGATCTGCAAGTAAGATTCAACAGGGTGGGAAGGCACTTCCATGCAGAGCTGGCCATCCTGCCCAAAGCTGTTTCACGCTATGGTGGCCCTGTAATCAGGCAGAATCACACAGGGGCTTGATAAAAATTCTGAACTGTAGATCACCAGGGCGATGGACAAGTTTGCCTTCATTGTACGGACTACGTAATTCTACAGAGAGTCACCACCACCACAAGGAAGTCCACCATCTGGCCTCCTTCAGTCCTAGCGCAAACAAAGCAAGAAAATTATGCTACAAATGGATTATTGGATGATGACTTATCTCCCTAAAAACCTCAAGAGTGTTAAAAAAAAAAACTACTAGAAATTAGAGGTGGCCAAATAAATGACCTTCTGTAGATTTGTTAAACTACATTAAACTTTGCTTATGATCAGAATGTAAACCATAACAAGGATTTTTTTTTCCTCTGATAATACCAGTAAATTTTTTTTCCCCTAAGATTTCCAGAGGGAAATTGCCTCTGGAATGCATGGGAAATGGACAGGAAACAAAGCTCTTATTTTAAATCTAAAAGGATTAAAGGGACATTGAACAGGGGCTGTATATTTTTGTTGCCCACCCACCCCAAACAAAAACTCACAGTGTGGGGGCCTTCAGATACCGGTTGGACAAATGCTTGCTTGGAGTATTCAGACCCTTTCACGTTTGTGTATTTAAATCCATAACATATCTCTAAATCTAAAACCCTATTGTCCTGGCCCACAGCTGATACTGAATCCAAGTTCTAGCACATCATCGCACGGTCCCAACATCCTCTTGACTCCTAAGAATATAAGGTCCTGTTCAGCAGCTCTCGGCCACTGTCCTAGAAACCTCTCTTGGTTTCACACATCTCTGCTCCACTCAGAACAGCCCTGCCTTCCCCTGGAGGCAGATGCCCTCAAATTTGTTTCTCTGTTCTTCCTTGGATCTTCTTTTGTTGCAGAGGTTGACAGCTGGTTGACTACGGTTTAACCCTTCAGATGGCTAGGCCACTAACAGAACCACCCACGGGAATCTGAACACCACCCACCTCCAGGCGCCATCCCTGAACAATCCCATCAGTACATGGGGTGTGTGGTCCAGCATCTGAAACTCAAAGCTCCCTGGTGAGTCAAACAAAAAATTCTCACACCAGGAAGGTGAAGATAACTGTCCCCTTTAACCCTGGGGCTGGGATGGATTCAGGCCTGGAACAGGGAGCTCTGGAGCTTCCCTCCATGTCGACGTGTGTTGTGTCATGACAAGAAAATTCTCAGAAAGACCTGCATAAATGACAGAACTGAAAATCTCTGAAGGTCCGGGATGTTTTTAGGTTGGAGAAAGGATTTATGCCCAAGAGATGGACATGAGAAAGAAAGCAAGGAGTATCATGCAACAAAAAGATCCATCACTCAGTCTCAAGCTCACACCTGTTCTTAGGGGGCATAAAAATGTTTCCCAGGATCTGAGGCTGTGGCTCAGTGGCAGGGTGCTTGCCTAGGATGTTCAAGGCCTGGATTCAATCCCCAGCACCGCAAAAATAATTAATTAATTAATTAATTAATTTTTAAAAACAGCCAAGAAAGATGAGAGCCCTGTGGGAGGCACCCACTACATGTCCACCCCAGCCAAACTTAACAAGCAGTTAATTAAGTTTATTTAGTCAAGAAGAAAAAAAAAAAAAAATCCCAACCTTGGGAAAAACTGCTTACTTTTCAAAGGTCCCTCTTTGGACTAAAACTGTCTGTATTTGAACATACAGGCAAGCTAAACCATACATAAAGCATTAAAATCATATTAAGTTATAAAATAAATTCAGCCAGGCAATCAGTTAAAAACTTATGGGGCAAGTTTCCACCTTCAGCTTCTTAATCTCTGTGAAAACTGAATGACAAGCTACGTAAGACTTAAAGAACTCTGTATTCTCATTTTTGTCTGTATACATAGAGAAAGAAGTTAACACAATAATGAATTAGTTATACTCTTTGGGCTGAAGATTGCCCCATAGGGTCAAGACAAGGCAGAAAACAACTGCTTCCTGAGAAGCAGCTGAAAGAGAAAGAAAAAAAAAAAAAAAAAAGTCACTAAGATTCTGATTAGAAACCATCCAGTGTCATTTTCTAAGTTCCTTGCAAGGGTTTTTACTTCTTTCTTTTGTCTGTTTTCTAAACCATCTTTATAGACTCCTAGGAACAGAAGCTGGAATGGCACTGGGCAAACCTCTCCAAGCTTTCCTGTTGTTTGTGTCTACACTTGGCATACTGCCAAACCCACCAACTTCTCTCCCATACTCCTGATGCTGGAGGACTCCAAGCAGGCAAGAAGCAACAGGACCCAGCAAAACCTTGTCACATCATTAAAACGTAAGACCAGAGGACCAGAGGCCTAACTCGGGTCCAAATTCAGCAATATTTCGAAGCAACATCCCTGGTAGAAATTCAGACCACTACCAACACAATTTTATAAGATCAACTAGGACAAATGTAATTGTAGACTGAGTTAATCAGGGACCGCACAGCTAAGTAATAAACAAATGTTCTCATTTGCTATAGTAGGGTAAAAATCTGAATTTGCAAACTCTTCCATCCCCCACTTTTCCTGATTTTTCCACCATCCACTGTATCTCATGTTCTCTTGCCCTTATAGAACATTTGTAGATCCCCCTACTCCATGCACTAGGCATATCTCAGAGTCCTTCCCTTCAAGGGATGTGTATTATGAGAGCAGCATCCAGCATTATGCAAAGTGGCACAAGAGATAGAAGGGGGTGCAACTTGGCTGTAGCATGCATACTGCACGCACACATCACACACACACACACATTAAAAAAAAAAAAAGAAGAAGAAGAAGAAGAAGAAGAAGAAGAAAAGAGCTTAAAGATTAAAAGCTACCCAACTTCAGAGAACAAAGGGATCAACATGCCAGGGCACTTAGTGAAGAGACTAGTTCATGGCAGCTGAGCTGGATCGGGAAGCACCAGAGCAAGGATTATCAGGCACAGGTGAGTCTTAGCCAAAGCACAGAGGAAGCCAAGGATGAACTCCACTCAGAGGACAATGGTTAAGCAGAGAATTTGTTCAGAGCTACTCCTTGGATGAAAGCATTATGCCTTTATATTTTATCCCCAAACCTCTGGCACAGAACACCACTTCAGCAGAGAGCCATAGAAAGAAAAAAATGTGTGCTAAGTATTGGAAATCAAGGCTGTAGGACCTTGGATTCAATGACAACACCTTTACCCATGATCCAGCAGCTCCCTGGTAGAGTTTTCAGGCCATAGCAGGTTGCTGATCTACTCACTGAAATCTCTCCCGGATTACACTCACCTGGCAAAGCAGCAACTTGGCTACACCCAAGGAGTCACATCTCTAGGCTGAATGGGGCTGGAGGAAATGGCTGTGCTGACCATCTCCTCTGAGTGTGAATCCAATTTCAGGGCAAACCCAGACAGGGCTCCTCCCTGCTGACTCTTCTGTCAGCACTCTATGTTCACTTTACAAAAGGGCAGTTTTCCCTCTTGGTTCAACTCCTTTTCCCAACTTCCTCCCTTACCTTGCATTTGCCCTTGAAAACTGGAAGCAAGGGGGCTAGGACTTCCTCTTCCTGCCACCTGCCCCCAAGCCCTCGTGCTGCCATCAAAAGCCAGTCCTGTGCTCTAGCTCCAGCCTGTCTCCTCTCCCATCCCCATTTCTCCCTCTCTTGGAAATCATCCCCAACACTATTAAGAGGGGTTCTCATGCTCCCCAAGAAACTCAAACTTTCCCTCCACAGTGCTCCTTCTGGGTCCCTCACCCCAAACCCCTCCCTCATCCGCATGCTGTTTCCACGAGCACCAGCCCCTGCGACCCTCAAGCCACCCACCCTGGCTTCTTCCACCTGCACAGGCTGTCACTGCTCTCAGAGAGGCCCACGCCTCCAGCTGTCAAGGCCAGGGGTCTATTTCCTGTTCTTTCCCCACCTGTCTCTAGGCACCTACATCTTAATAGCTCCTGGCTTCAAACATCTTCTTCTTGTGGCTTCAATGGCCAGATTCTCCCCTTGCTCCCCCAGCTTCAGCAACTGCTCCTTGTGGGTGTCCTTTCCAGCCTCCTCTGCAGTCCAGGTTTTGCTGTGGGTCCCTCCTCTTCCTTCTGATCTGCCCTCTCTCCCCCCCAACTGACCCCCACCAGGCCAGTGTCCGCAATACCATGTACAGGCCAATGATCCCAAGCTGTCTCTCCACTCTGACTGGACCACCCCCAGGCCTGCAGGATCCAACAGGTCTTCTGTCCCCCATCCAATCTTTCCCTTCCTGCAGGCCAGGCACAACTCCTCACTTCTCCAAGAACTCCGAGGACTCCAGAGCCACACAGAGCTCTCCCCCTTCAGGCCTTCTAGAACACTGAGCCAGTCTGCAGTGAAGGATTTACTCCTTAATTACACACAGTCTTTAATTGGTCCCTAAATGTCTGCTTCCTATTGTGTAAATCCTTTCTCCACAAGGAGGTTTAGGTTTCTGAACAATACCAGCATTCCTTTTCTTGTTCTTGATACTGGCCATGATGAAGAAGTACAAACAATGAGCAGTTTTCTGACAGCAAACCAACCTAATATTTTATAGAGTAAAAACTAAAACTCCTGCACTGTCAAACAGTCAGAAAAACCTGGACTTCAGCAGGCACAGGAGCATAGGAGGCTGAGGCAGGAGGATTCTGAGCTCAAAGCCAGCCTCAGCAACTTAGCGAAATCCTGTCTCTAAATAAAATATTTTTGAAAGGGCTGGGGATATGGCTTCATGATTAAGCACCTCTTGGGTTCAATCCTTAGTACCAAAAAAATAAAAATAAAAATAATGTAGACTTCTTCACCCATAAGTTTCTTGAAAACTCACATTATTATATTTTTTATATAATTCTCTTTGTCTAGAATCACCAGGTAGCAATGGCAAAGACACAGTTAGAAAAGCAGGACAAAACCTGTAAGATTTTCTGTCAATGAACTCCTCAGAAATTTTTAAACTGAAAATATTAAGCAACATTTCCTATAAAACAGGAATGTCGTAAATAATTTGTATTTCTTGCAAAAACATTAAATTCAGGTAAATTTTTATTGAAAAAAAAGAACAATTTAATCCTTCAATACAAGTTTACATGAGAGAGGAGAACAAACATGGTCCAGCCAAGGATTTCTGCCAGACTTTTCTTGGTAAACAGGGCTAAGGAAGTAGAAAGGAGTGTGGTTCACAGAGACAGTTGAAAGTCTATAACAAGCCCACTTCACCAACCAAATAGAAAAAGTCTTATTTTCATTACTTAAAAAAAAAAAACTGATCCTAATCTGGCCCCCTTCCAACCCTTGCCAATTGCCAATTAATTAATCTCCCTCTCTGCAGCTACATCATAACTCACTGAAAACCCCTGACCAAACCTAAGGGATTAACTCAAACCTAGGAGCTGGTCCACCCATACACTGGCCCCTACAGCCTTTGCTCTGGCCATCTCTCTGCCCTTGACATTCTAACAACAGCAATCACACAGCATGTACCTGCATACTGTCCTCGGCAAGTCTGAGCATGCTGGGGCCTCCTCACTCCAACTTGCTCACTTCCAGTTCTGGTCCCCTAGCTATTTTCTTCAGTTATCTTTCTCGTTTTTCCAGAATTGGCCCATGATCCTTCAATCTCAATCTCACCAACTATGCTCCAAGAACTACCGTTATCCTTTCCCTGGGTTCTTTTTGCTTCTGCACCTCAATAATAGAGCAGTACCATGCTGTTCTGAGATATATTCATGAATTTTCCTCTCCAAATACCTGCAAGTTCCTGTAGAACAAAGATCATGCTTCCTTTCTTTGTGCTGGGGATCAAACCTAGGGTATTGAGAATGTGAGGAGATCTCTACCTTGAGCTACATCCCCAGCACAATCATGTTCTCCTTTCTCTCCTGAGTTGCATAGTGTCTCCCCAAAAGACATGTCCAAGTCCTAACCCCAATACCTTCAGTGTGACTTTATTTGGAAATAGGGACTTTGTAGGTACAAGTAAGAAAAGGATCTTGAGTGGACATCATCCTGGACTTAAGAGTTGACCCTAAATTCAGTGACTGTTGATCTTATGAGTGAAGAGAATCTGAGACACAAAGAGACTGGAGCAGGCTGCTATAAACTCAAGAACATTCGAAAATGAAAGGAGTAAGGAAGGATCCTTCCCTAACTTCTTCAGAATAGGCCCAGCTGACACCTTGATTTTGGACTGTGGACTCCAGATTTGTGGGGAAAATAAATGTGTTATTTCAAGTCACCAAGTATGAAGTAATTTGCAGCAGCCTAAGAAAACTAACACACACACACACACACACACACACACACACACACACACACTCACACACTCCAAAGCCTAACATGCCAGCTTCTACCAAGGAGCCTCCCAATCAAAACTGCGTTGAACTAAGACAGATGAAAAGCAAGAGGGAAAGATGAGAACGTATCTGAACTGCAGAGCAAGAATCTGAGACATGGTCCCAGATACCAAATCATCACTACTCTTGGACATGTCAGTTATCCACAGTTGACTCCTTGCCTAATAAAATAAGGGAACTGACCCCTAAGACCTTCTACCAAGTCTGAAATACCTTGAACACACTTTACCCAAAACATCAGTTTAAACTGATCCTTAAATAAATTACTTCTTCCCACTCAGAAAAATAAATTTTGTTAATTTTACTTTCATCCAAAGGGCTTTCAGATACAAAAAAAAAAAAAGTTGGACAAAAATGGTATTTCAACTCGTGAAAATTTTAGTAAAATAATTTAGTGATTAATATGGCCAAAAGTGATTTTCTACACTATCACCTACTTTTTTTTCTGCAAAGCCAAAGCAACAATTTAAAAGAAGTTGATCAAATCCAGCTGGTATCGTTGACATTTCAGAAAAAACCGGACCCAAACATGAATCAACTTAAGCACCACTCACTGACCCAGAACCTAAATGTTTACAACGTCACTGCATGGTGACTAATTTTTGCAGAGTAACAAGGGACTTCTCAAACACTGGGGTTTTCTCCAGTAGATTCAAAATGTAATTAAGGTCCCATACCCAAAATTTCCACTTCAAAGCATCTAGCCAAATAAACACAACTGCTGCCACCACCAAATGTCGAAGTTTTGGTACAGGAGTCAAACAGAAAAAAAAACTGTTTTACCTATCTTTTTGCCTCTCTCTCTCTATATATATATATATACACAGTTTTTTCCCGTGTCACAGCCTTCCCTAGTATACCTGTATATCCTGCTGAGGAATTTGGGTTAAATTAAAAAACATATTTTGGGTTTTTTCATGGGTTTTTTCATAGAAGATGCTGTGACCTTTGCCTTCATGTTTTTAGTGGAAGCCTTCTTTTTTAGGAAACCAACCAAAACAACATAGAGGAAAACGGAGCCAAGGGACTCATATTTCAGTCTGACAAAATATCCACTAGAAACACTTAGACTTAAAACTTTTCCAAACCAATTTATCATTCAAAAAACACAGTCTGGAGTCACTGGAGCCAACGATTCAGCTAGAACTGGCAGAACTATGCCTTCAAAAACCTGGACCTTGAATCCTAACACAAAGTGAGTTACCAAAATTTTTCCTTCCAGGTGGTAACTCAATCCGAAACTCACAGTGGAGTTGGAGGGCTCCACAAGGCAGTTTTAATTCTGTGGTTCTTGGCTTTTCAAGATGATTTCTCACAGACATGAAAATGGGACTGGAAAGTGGGTGCATGTTTGCACCCCTTAATCACAAGTCTACCTCAAAAGGTGCTCTTTAACTGCAAGAAAATTAGGGCAGCAAAGGGCAAGGGAAGTTTCTGGGTCTGGGGAGTACACAAGGGCGTTCAAAGTTCTTGTATTCTGCAAACTCAACTACCTAGATGTAACTTAATCTGCATGGAGGCAGATTGTAAGCCAGCGCTGTTTCTAGAAGCCCAAAACCAGGATGAATGAGCTTTAACTGTGCCGACTGCATGTTTACTTGCATCCTCAGGTGGCAAGGCGCAGCCACACAAGCGCAGCGCGCCCAGGAGCCCGAAAACTTTACTTTGCAAACTAGCAGAGCCCGGGATTCGGCTCGGAGGCAAACTGCCTCGCCTTGCCCCAAACTGCACCCACGCCAAGTAGCCTTCCCCCGGCACCACCCGCTGCATGCAGTTCCATTCACACAAAGGCGCGTGGATGCCGGCAGGACCCTTCTCCAAAGTTAAGGAGCGAGAAGCCGGGAGACAAGAAAGAGGGAAGAAGAGGACCCGGGGGCCCGCAGGCTACTCACAGGGTGACCGTGCGGTTGGGCAGCGTGTCTGGAGGCAGGACCTGCGCGAGCTCCAGGCTGCTGCACACCACCTTGCCC